AGTGATTGTCCCCCCATGTACATAATCCACTAAACTGTCATATTTTTTGATCATGTCTGCATATTCTTGAAGCTGTTCTGTCTTTAGTGCTGTCATTGATTACAGTTAAGAAAGAACAGGTAGTATAAAATTGGTCTACAGGTGGTTGGGGAATCAAGTTCACTTTGCCTCTGCGGTACTAGAACCTAACTCTGCTAATGTTAATATTAATGTATACTATTTGATAAATCCATTGCAAGTTAACTGTAGAGAACAGTTTAAGCATAGGTGGACAAATTTTTCTTCAGAAGATAACCTTTGAATCAAAAAGGATTATCCGTTGAATTTTATGCATCATCTGTTGTAAATTAAAATATGATTATTAGTAGTGTTTTCGTTTAATTCTGTGGGGTCAATGTGCTGTTACTACTGCAGAAGGCAAGTGGTATAAAGCATACTTTTATGAGGAACTGTAACATGTTCAATTCTGTAAGAAGTACGTTAAAGATCTGTTAGGGATTTCAATGTTGGTCTGGTAGGTCATTTCAAATGATGGAAGAAGTGTTCACATAAAATTGGAAATTTTAATGCTGCCATATTTGATAATTGACTGTATAAAAAGTTAAAAAATTCTCACATGTGAGAACATTTGAAATGCTGTTTGGAATAGTTACTCTTAATTTCATTAAATAAGGACTTTGGGTGTGAGTAGCAGCAAGCGTTTATAAAGGAGCTAGCCACCACTCATCAGTGTTACCCAATCTTAAGTCTCCTCAAACCTCAACGTAGCTGAGTTGCACGCCACTGGACGTGGGTTATTTGCCTGTGGAGTTGGTGGATATTACCACTGGACCTTGGGCGGAAACCCAATCCCGAATAGTGAGTGACTCGAGCGCTGGGCGCTCAGTGGCAGGTCCCATGGAACTAGTTCGAGGAGTCCAATTCGTGGCCTTTGCATTCACCACTATGGCCTGGTGGGGGTGTTGTGTGTCCCATGGCAGAGCTAGGTTGGCCTCAGCCAAAAAGACCAGTGGGTCTTTAGGCCGACCCCCATGCTCTCATCATGACCTAGGCTTCCACATTTATTTATTTCTCTCTCTCTTTTTCGGCGATGTAAATCTTCAGCTATCATAAAAACGTGAACAGCTCGTCAAAATGGGCCTTAAGAAAGGTAAATTCCTCCTATGTTATGAGAAATTTCTAATCTCCAACTAGTGAAAGAATACTTAATCACGTTGTCAGAAAACCACTGATGCCTTCTATACTGGTGATCACCGGAATGTTCTGCTTCCATGTCTTTTCCTGACCCCAGAATAATTGGGAACACATTAGCATAAACCTGGCAGTGAGTGATAAGTGAAATTACGTGGTTGGATGAATAGAGGAGCGGTATGCTACACAAGTGAGTGATTACGTGTCTTTCATGACGTACACGAACTACAAATTGTGTTCTGTGTGCGAGAACAAGAGCAGCAACAGTAATGAGACTGGTATTCTCGCCATCTCCCGGTCTTATAAAGTACTATCAAACAATTATTTATGTTTAACATCTTTGGCATTTTAACATCTTAAATAGAAAGATTCTATCTGCTCTACCCATCTGAGATCAATGTCTTCAATGCAAGCGAAGAACACGCAATAGTTTCAATATTGTCAGTGGTGTGTTCTATAAATGTTTATGTTACCAATGTACTAATCCGCGATCCTCTGCATAGAGCATTTTTGTAAAGTTGGTTGTGGTTATGTATATTGAATCGTGGTTCCATTGGATGAATTCGTAGCAGCGGTGGGGATTTGGTAATGGATATATTGAAGTCAGAAATTCTGAAGAAGAGGAAGGAACTCGAGGAAAATAAACTGTTGGTAACTTCTTCTTCTTTTCTTTTTGAAATTTTAAACAGTGGACAACTTCAGTTGTTTTGTGTGTGTGTATATGTATATATGTGTGTGTGTGTATTGCATTTAGAAGACAGATGGAAGAACAAGGAATCAACAGCATAAAACAACACTTCTGAATTTTTTGGAATATATGGTGTATAGATGTAACCAAAATTGTGTTTAGAAGTTGACATATATTTGTTTCACTTTTAAGCCATGTTTAGTGTTCTTTATTACTTCATATCAACACATTTATGCTAGAAAAGTCATGTTTGTATGATCCACAGTTTTGCTTTAGGGATTGTTAAGACAGTGCCATTAGGGTACTAATATTCTCATGGATGAGTACATTAATTTTCAACATTGTCACAGGAGGTTGAGTCTTCCTCAGGAAGCCCATGTCGTATTACTTGATTTTTAATACTGTTGTTTACTGTCCAGCCATATGAAATGCTATATTACAGAGATCCTGGGTTCATATCATTGTCCAGAAGCAGATATCCTGACTCAGACTTTAAACAGCTTTCTTATCTGATCATTCATAATTGTAATTTTTAAATGTTATGTAATTAATGCAGTTGAAGGGAGTAATACTAAATGAATAAAGTGAACGAGAACAATGTTAATATCACTTTTCATTGATTTATTGAGCACTGAATGTTGATTTTTAAATCTTTCTTGTAGGAACCATCCAAAAAATACTTCAAAAGATCTGTTTTGGCTGAAAAGGAAGAAGAAGAGTATTTAAAGAAATATGGGTCAAAGGGTGATGAGATGCAGTCAGACATTGGCAAACCTGCAACAGGTAGATAATTTACCTTTTTATTCATATTTACACTATCTTGACTGCAGATGCCATACAAAATTTCCTGAAATATCACAAATTTGAAAACAAGTATTTCAGGATTTTTTTTTATATTGAAGTTTATAATGAAATCAGCCATCATTTAAAATGTATACAGTTAAAGACCTATTGCTTTAGAGTATTATATTAATTTATTTTTTACAGGTGGTAATGTTGCTGATGATAGCTCAGATCATACAACACTTCCTAGGCGAGATGTTATTAGGAGGTTGAGAGAAAGATGTGAGCCAATAATGCTCTTTGGTGAGGCAGAACTGGATGCATTTAGGAGACTGAGGCGAAGTGAAATCCTGGAACCAGAAGTTAATAAGGTAATAAAACTTGTTATGAATTGTATTAATTAAACCAAGGGAATACTTAGGTCATGAACAGCTAATAATACAACATTAAGATTGTTTTATTTCAGTAATTTTGTCTCTTAATTTGGGTCAGGACAAGGGTTGGAATGTTTAACCTCTATCTTATGAGTGACTCATATGCTAGACTTTAAATTCCTCCTAGTGCCATGTGTTGGGCTTTGGGCGTTTCACTGCAGACGTGTTTCAATCAGCTGAACACATTGCAAAATATATTACATTTTCTTTTTCATACATCTTTGATGAGATTTTTTGTCTTCAAAAGGTACCAGCACTAATCAGTATGCTACATTTAGTATTTTTTTTATACTCCTCAAAACACCAATACACAGCCCTATGTAACTCTCCTTGCATTTTACTTGAACCCTCTTCTGTGCCAAACTGGCGCTACAATTCAATCTGGAGGAATAAATTGGCAGTGTTTGCGGAAATTTCACTTGAGTCTAGTAAGTTTTCTGTGCATGACAATTGGTCTGCAATGGGACAATGGAAATGAGGTAAACACATCTTTTTTTATTGAAACACAAATCTATTATGTGATGTTTACAATATTTTTATTTTTTCCTCACACTCATGTTAATTTAGTTACATTAGGCCCAAATATTTACATTCATGCTGTTTGTTGACTTTTGACAGGGTCTCCGTAATGATTTCCAAGAAGCTCTGGAAAAAGTTGATCAGGCATTTCTGGATGAGATTTTAGCTTCTCAAGTTCAAGATGCAGATGGTAGATCTTCCAATGATGTCAAAGTACAAGATGATGGTATTACATATGATGAAATTCAGAAAATGGCAGCAAGCTTAGGAAAAGGAGATAGAGATCTTGATATGAATGTCATCACCCACTTCATCCAGGTAAAATATTTTAAAGTCTGACAAATAACTGGGGTGTATTCATACAGCAACTGGAAACATGGTGAGATGATGCATATTGGATCTCATGACTCAACATTTTCCTGTGTCTCAGACAGGATTCAGTAGGCTAAAGTTACTATGCTTGACTCTGTTGACTATTCTAATATGTAATACAATTTTCCTACATAGTTTCTGCTCAAGATGTGGGGTAACCAACTCAATAATCGATCTCCAGCTGAGAAAATGGGTGTAAGAGGCAAGTTGGCTTGTGCAACTTACACACAGACACAAGTGTACTTGAAGCCCTTGTTGAGAAAATTGAAAACAAAATCTCTGCCAGAGGATATTTCTGACAGTCTAACAGAAATAACAAGGTACATGATGGACAGGGATTATATTCGGGTATGTACACTACAGGTTTGTCATGATTTTCACAAAGGTGGGAACAGGTCACACAAATGATTTGCTAATCCTCCGTTCTTTTTATCCTTGGGGCCCTTTCATTTATAAGGTGCTTTACCATTCTACTTAACTCTGTGACATTAAGTTTTTTTTAGGTATGTAAATGTAACCTAATTCAGTCCCTAGCATATCCTTTAATTGCTCATTGTCACTGTAATCACCACATGATTCTAGTCTATAAGAGTCTTTCAGTATTTCTGTTTTCATAGAGTTGTCATGCATGCCTGCAGTAAGGTTAACAGAAATTCTTCTACAGGCAGTAAAGATATTAGTCTAGATGTAAATATAATTCCAAATAAATGCATAAATATTACATAAAACCAAAATCATCAAGACTGACATAATATATACATGATAAAATATTTAAATGTGCTAGAATTTAGTGTCTGTAAACAATGCAGAAATGAGGTTTATGATGAAACTAAAATATTAAATTTTGGAAATGTTTGTAATTATTAAATTTAAGACGGGTAGCATCCTCTATGATTTCCAAAATGCCGCAAATTAGGTAATGCAAAACAAATTTGCTACATACTCTATGTTCACATGAAATGTGGTTTCCTTTTTGGGGGGAGAACATAAATTTCAAGAGTTTTTAAAATGACGTGCTCAGGGCCCAAAAAAGGATGAAGTAAATGAGTAGTTCAGGTAGTTATGTAATGTGTATTGTTAGGGTAGTCAAATTTAGGTACCAGTAGGTTGGGCATATTACAGGAAGACCATTAGTAAGGCTTGGAGGTAGATGGAACTAGCTTGGCTTTGATATTAGCAGTGTTGAAACTCATGTTATTTTACACTAGTGTTAGTCTGAAGATAGCAGCATGTGATAATGCCCTAAACTAGAGTTACATGGTTTTTCCCTTAAAATATATGTGTATTGGATCCTGTAGTGATCTGAGTGCCTGGGGTGACTAGTTGTCCACCTTAGGTCAGTACCAGTGTCCCTTGTGAAAGTGAATGTTGAAGTTTGGTGACAATGGAATTTTTTAATATTGAATGTGGGGCAGAGAGATGATAGGTAATGCACTGACTTTCCTGGCTCATTGTTCTACTACAGAGTTAGCAGTCAGTTAACTGTGATGGCCAGGGAGAAAGCAGAAGGGAGACTGCATTCTAAATGAGAGTTTTGAATTCAGAGTTACATGAATGGTTATTTTTTAACATGGAGTCAGATTCATCCATCAGTACACTGGGAGAGCAAGTAGAAGCAGAAAGTAGACTCTACCATAAACAATAGCCAGTATTCAAATAAAAGACAAGTGATTTTCACATCAGTTTTTATTTTATACTTGCAGGCTAGTGACTCATATCTACAAATGGCTATAGGCAATGCACCATGGCCCATTGGTGTCACTATGGTTGGTATACATGCCAGAACAGGACGTGAAAAAATCTTCTCAAAAAATGTAGCACATGTGATGAATGATGAGACCCAGAGGAAATATCTGCAAGGTCTCAAACGACTCATGACAAAATGCCAGCAATATTTTCCAACAGATCCTTCCAGATGTGTGGAATACACACGAACGGAGCTGTCATCTTGAATGTTACAGTCCTACTACTTTGGACATAATTCTGCAGACCTTTTAGCAGCAGCTTCTACAGCATCCATTAAAGCACTTCTGTGAATAATAAGAATAATTTTTTTTTAGATGTGATCCTCACACAACAGTGAAGATATCAAGATTGGTTTTCTAGGTTATAAAATTGTATGGACTTGTAAGCAGAGATAAAATCTTAAGCCCTAAGATGGAGACAGCATGTTCCTTTGAAATATTGGTATTTACCTACAAGTTCACACTTTAACAAAATTAACAAAATTCAGTTTTAAAATGCTGTGTGTCAGCTGTTGAATAATATAATATTGATGCATAGATGAATCTACAAAACACCACAGGAAATGCAGGTAAAGATGGACGCAAATGTATGTTAATCATGTTACATGTAGTGTAAAATAAAGATTAATGTACTACTATAAATATTTTAATTACTGACTTTATGTCTGTAAAGCTTGATTCGAACCTAGGCATCTTCAAGAGGTTTCAAAATCTCTAATACTGGGAGCATATAATAAATTTCAAAATTGTCCAAGAACTCAAAATCCTTTGCAAATAAACAAGGCTTGATATATTTCACATTGCATGTATCTGATGTTTTATGGCAGAACTGAGTTTTAACATTCTTTTGTTTTCATTGTTATTCAAGATTAAAATGAAGCAAACTACATCATGAAGTTCTTCATTGCTGAAGGAGTATTTATTGGTGGGGGGGGATATTTTGTGTAACCTTTGTTGTGCTTAATTTAAATAAACACTGTACCTTTTGCTGAATTAATTCAATTCCAGGAATTTAAATATAGTGACACATGAAAATTCATACATATCTTTTAAACCAATGATTGAAATTATGACACGAGAAGTATACATATGAAAATGTGACAGATTAGCCCAGGAAAATTGTTTCTTTTCTAAAAAGTGTTACTACATTTTAGAAAATTAAAATATACAATACTTTGCTATTACTCATGTGACAAGCAAAACTTCACTGCATTTTTACACCAGTGGTGATATCTGTTGTGCTGTGAATTTTTTATGGCAAACTTCAAATCATGGATACACACCATAAAACCCTACACTTTGGACAGCTGAATACAGTTTGTGTAATTTTTTTAAAATGCAGCATCCTGCTCTGTTAGGCTACTGTCAATAATGGCCAGAGTCCACTGGAGCAGTCATGTTGTTTTTCAGCAATTATCCCATTGCTGGGGAAGAGGCAATTGTTGGTGAGAAGTCAAACTGGGGAACTTCCACAGCATGCAGTAAACTCCACAGATTTGTTGTATATGGCAGAGGCCTGAGGATAAGTGAGGCTTCAGCAGTCAGTAATGGCTCAAGCATAAGCTTACTGTTTCTCCTTCCATACTATGTAAATCACCTGACTCCTCCACATTCCATGGCATGGACACCAGTGATGGTGGAGCCCAAACTTGTTATGAATTGTATTAATTAAACCAAGGGAATACTTAGGTCATGAACAGCTAATAATACAACATTAAGATTGTTTTATTTCAGTAATTTTGTCTCTTAATTTGGGTCAGGACAAGGGTTGGAATGTTTAACCTCTATCTTATGAGTGACTCATATGCTAGACTTTAAATTCCTCCTAGTGCCATGTGTTGGGCTTTGGGCGTTTCACTGCAGACGTGTTTCAATCAGCTGAACACATTGCAAAATATATTACATTTTCTTTTTCATACATCTTTGATGAGATTTTTTGTCTTCAAAAGGTACCAGCACTAATCAGTATGCTACATTTAGTATTTTTTTTATACTCCTCAAAACACCAATACACAGCCCTATGTAACTCTCCTTGCATTTTACTTGAACCCTCTTCTGTGCCAAACTGGCGCTACAATTCAATCTGGAGGAATAAATTGGCAGTGTTTGCGGAAATTTCACTTGAGTCTAGTAAGTTTTCTGTGCATGACAATTGGTCTGCAATGGGACAATGGAAATGAGGTAAACACATCTTTTTTTATTGAAACACAAATCTATTATGTGATGTTTACAATATTTTTATTTTTTCCTCACACTCATGTTAATTTAGTTACATTAGGCCCAAATATTTACATTCATGCTGTTTGTTGACTTTTGACAGGGTCTCCGTAATGATTTCCAAGAAGCTCTGGAAAAAGTTGATCAGGCATTTCTGGATGAGATTTTAGCTTCTCAAGTTCAAGATGCAGATGGTAGATCTTCCAATGATGTCAAAGTACAAGATGATGGTATTACATATGATGAAATTCAGAAAATGGCAGCAAGCTTAGGAAAAGGAGATAGAGATCTTGATATGAATGTCATCACCCACTTCATCCAGGTAAAATATTTTAAAGTCTGACAAATAACTGGGGTGTATTCATACAGCAACTGGAAACATGGTGAGATGATGCATATTGGATCTCATGACTCAACATTTTCCTGTGTCTCAGACAGGATTCAGTAGGCTAAAGTTACTATGCTTGACTCTGTTGACTATTCTAATATGTAATACAATTTTCCTACATAGTTTCTGCTCAAGATGTGGGGTAACCAACTCAATAATCGATCTCCAGCTGAGAAAATGGGTGTAAGAGGCAAGTTGGCTTGTGCAACTTACACACAGACACAAGTGTACTTGAAGCCCTTGTTGAGAAAATTGAAAACAAAATCTCTGCCAGAGGATATTTCTGACAGTCTAACAGAAATAACAAGGTACATGATGGACAGGGATTATATTCGGGTATGTACACTACAGGTTTGTCATGATTTTCACAAAGGTGGGAACAGGTCACACAAATGATTTGCTAATCCTCCGTTCTTTTTATCCTTGGGGCCCTTTCATTTATAAGGTGCTTTACCATTCTACTTAACTCTGTGACATTAAGTTTTTTTTAGGTATGTAAATGTAACCTAATTCAGTCCCTAGCATATCCTTTAATTGCTCATTGTCACTGTAATCACCACATGATTCTAGTCTATAAGAGTCTTTCAGTATTTCTGTTTTCATAGAGTTGTCATGCATGCCTGCAGTAAGGTTAACAGAAATTCTTCTACAGGCAGTAAAGATATTAGTCTAGATGTAAATATAATTCCAAATAAATGCATAAATATTACATAAAACCAAAATCATCAAGACTGACATAATATATACATGATAAAATATTTAAATGTGCTAGAATTTAGTGTCTGTAAACAATGCAGAAATGAGGTTTATGATGAAACTAAAATATTAAATTTTGGAAATGTTTGTAATTATTAAATTTAAGACGGGTAGCATCCTCTATGATTTCCAAAATGCCGCAAATTAGGTAATGCAAAACAAATTTGCTACATACTCTATGTTCACATGAAATGTGGTTTCCTTTTTGGGGGGAGAACATAAATTTCAAGAGTTTTTAAAATGACGTGCTCAGGGCCCAAAAAAGGATGAAGTAAATGAGTAGTTCAGGTAGTTATGTAATGTGTATTGTTAGGGTAGTCAAATTTAGGTACCAGTAGGTTGGGCATATTACAGGAAGACCATTAGTAAGGCTTGGAGGTAGATGGAACTAGCTTGGCTTTGATATTAGCAGTGTTGAAACTCATGTTATTTTACACTAGTGTTAGTCTGAAGATAGCAGCATGTGATAATGCCCTAAACTAGAGTTACATGGTTTTTCCCTTAAAATATATGTGTATTGGATCCTGTAGTGATCTGAGTGCCTGGGGTGACTAGTTGTCCACCTTAGGTCAGTACCAGTGTCCCTTGTGAAAGTGAATGTTGAAGTTTGGTGACAATGGAATTTTTTAATATTGAATGTGGGGCAGAGAGATGATAGGTAATGCACTGACTTTCCTGGCTCATTGTTCTACTACAGAGTTAGCAGTCAGTTAACTGTGATGGCCAGGGAGAAAGCAGAAGGGAGACTGCATTCTAAATGAGAGTTTTGAATTCAGAGTTACATGAATGGTTATTTTTTAACATGGAGTCAGATTCATCCATCAGTACACTGGGAGAGCAAGTAGAAGCAGAAAGTAGACTCTACCATAAACAATAGCCAGTATTCAAATAAAAGACAAGTGATTTTCACATCAGTTTTTATTTTATACTTGCAGGCTAGTGACTCATATCTACAAATGGCTATAGGCAATGCACCATGGCCCATTGGTGTCACTATGGTTGGTATACATGCCAGAACAGGACGTGAAAAAATCTTCTCAAAAAATGTAGCACATGTGATGAATGATGAGACCCAGAGGAAATATCTGCAAGGTCTCAAACGACTCATGACAAAATGCCAGCAATATTTTCCAACAGATCCTTCCAGATGTGTGGAATACACACGAACGGAGCTGTCATCTTGAATGTTACAGTCCTACTACTTTGGACATAATTCTGCAGACCTTTTAGCAGCAGCTTCTACAGCATCCATTAAAGCACTTCTGTGAATAATAAGAATAATTTTTTTTTAGATGTGATCCTCACACAACAGTGAAGATATCAAGATTGGTTTTCTAGGTTATAAAATTGTATGGACTTGTAAGCAGAGATAAAATCTTAAGCCCTAAGATGGAGACAGCATGTTCCTTTGAAATATTGGTATTTACCTACAAGTTCACACTTTAACAAAATTAACAAAATTCAGTTTTAAAATGCTGTGTGTCAGCTGTTGAATAATATAATATTGATGCATAGATGAATCTACAAAACACCACAGGAAATGCAGGTAAAGATGGACGCAAATGTATGTTAATCATGTTACATGTAGTGTAAAATAAAGATTAATGTACTACTATAAATATTTTAATTACTGACTTTATGTCTGTAAAGCTTGATTCGAACCTAGGCATCTTCAAGAGGTTTCAAAATCTCTAATACTGGGAGCATATAATAAATTTCAAAATTGTCCAAGAACTCAAAATCCTTTGCAAATAAACAAGGCTTGATATATTTCACATTGCATGTATCTGATGTTTTATGGCAGAACTGAGTTTTAACATTCTTTTGTTTTCATTGTTATTCAAGATTAAAATGAAGCAAACTACATCATGAAGTTCTTCATTGCTGAAGGAGTATTTATTGGTGGGGGGGGATATTTTGTGTAACCTTTGTTGTGCTTAATTTAAATAAACACTGTACCTTTTGCTGAATTAATTCAATTCCAGGAATTTAAATATAGTGACACATGAAAATTCATACATATCTTTTAAACCAATGATTGAAATTATGACACGAGAAGTATACATATGAAAATGTGACAGATTAGCCCAGGAAAATTGTTTCTTTTCTAAAAAGTGTTACTACATTTTAGAAAATTAAAATATACAATACTTTGCTATTACTCATGTGACAAGCAAAACTTCACTGCATTTTTACACCAGTGGTGATATCTGTTGTGCTGTGAATTTTTTATGGCAAACTTCAAATCATGGATACACACCATAAAACCCTACACTTTGGACAGCTGAATACAGTTTGTGTAATTTTTTTAAAATGCAGCATCCTGCTCTGTTAGGCTACTGTCAATAATGGCCAGAGTCCACTGGAGCAGTCATGTTGTTTTTCAGCAATTATCCCATTGCTGGGGAAGAGGCAATTGTTGGTGAGAAGTCAAACTGGGGAACTTCCACAGCATGCAGTAAACTCCACAGATTTGTTGTATATGGCAGAGGCCTGAGGATAAGTGAGGCTTCAGCAGTCAGTAATGGCTCAAGCATAAGCTTACTGTTTCTCCTTCCATACTATGTAAATCACCTGACTCCTCCACATTCCATGGCATGGACACCAGTGATGGTGGAGC